TTTCTTGCTTTGTTGCTTCTGTCTTTGGCAATATGTCAGCCTGCCAAGTTATATTAATCAAGTTATGTGAAAGAAAAATAAAATCACAAGGAAAGAACTAGCAATGTTTAGAGCTTTTTGATTGGGAAAAGTGTGAGGACTTCAAGTACTRTCCAAGAAGTTCCTGCATTTGAGCTGCATATAATGAAACTGTTATTCTAGTAGGGCTGGGGTTTTTTACTTAATAGAGACTTCAAAATAAAAACAGGAAAATAAGATTTTTTTTTTTAGCTAAGATGGTTGTAATTTAAATAGAAATATTTGCACAAAATCACAACAATTTTCAAAATKATTACATCCTCAAAGCTCTCCTTACGCCACTGTAAACTCCTCTTCTAAATTTAGCTCCAGAGATTTCCTTTAAGAAATCTTTATTTTATACCAGAGCCAAACCCAATAAAAGCAAAGTGGATTATAATGAGGCAGGGATTTCACTCCTATATAAATGTGTGCATTTGCTGGCTTTGTGCTCACCCTGAAAAATAAACTCTTGGTCTCCCATCGCAGCTGCCCGGGAGMAGCATCGTGTCTGTGCCGCACACAACAACTGCTGGAGATGTTTTTAGGCGCTGCTATATAAAGCTGTGAGCATTCTGRTACAGTCATCATCCCAGTGAGTCAGCTGAGCCTGAGTCACTCTGATGCGTGCCCTCGGACCCAATGGATCTGTCTTTTGGGATTGGGATGCTCTTGCAATGTAACATTTGCACCTGCTTGGGTGGCGGCGGCGGTGAGATTTCAGTCTTCAATAAGAAGTCAAAATAAAAAGTTTTATAACTCTTTGGCTTCTTTTGTTCTTTGATAGAAATAAGATTTTTTTTTTTTTTAAAGAAAGTTCTGTTTATGTGTGTGGGGTGGTTAACACAATACCAGCCCTTGGGAAGGTCTTATGTACATTTGTGTGTACAAGTTTTTTTCTCTGTGAACCCAGAAACACAGGACTGTTCTAACTCAAGGTGGCTGCTCCCAGACTGTTAATCACACTCCCCTGCATCTACAGGACTTGGAAAGGTTGGCACAGCACCACCTAAATTAATTTTRCACTAACAAGGAATTTCTCCAATGAAGGCATCCCGTGTTTCACTATCATGGCAAAACCACAATATCCTGTTGTGCCTCTTCCCAATCACAAAAAGGAGCAATTGCATGGAWCCATGCACAGCTTTCATAAACAACATTACATAAATCTGATAGAAAGACACCTACTCACACATTGCACAATTATTCTTTCAGCAGTCCTCCAGATTTGTTTCTTCTCATACATTTAATTCTCATTTTGTCATACATTCCTCACCACGGTTATTAGGCTTTAAGRTACCCTTGACAAATATATAAAGGGCAATATTCTTCACTGGCATCAAATTATGTTTAGGGCTTTTTGAGTTAGTAGGTAATGTACCAGTAAAAGAATAATTAATTCCTGAAGGACTGAGCACAAAAACAAGCATACGTTTGTCTGAGAAAGTGAAAAGTTTGACTAAACAGGAAGTTTATGAATTATCATGTTGCTGTCCAACTGGATCAGTAGCTTTTTTCATGTTGTTTACTAAATGCCATGCAAATTAAGACAGCAATGGATCACACAATTCCAGAATTAACTGATGACTTTTGGAGAATTTTTTTCCACATGAATTAAGGCTTTTGGTAACGAGGAGGTAAAATAATCAGGATGCAAAATGCCTTAGAGCCACAGATTCTGTTGGCTTTTTACATCCTGCTATCACATTCCTGTAAAGACATTTCCTGTGACTGGATGTGGAGTAACACATCCTCAAAGTGGACCATGTAAAAGTCATGCAGAACAAAATGTCTTGTAAAAGTTACCCGAGGAGATTCTTAAGTGTCAAGCAAAAATTTTGGAACAAAATTAGTGAAATGTCTCTAGTGAGTTTATTATATCAGCTATTTGGAATCCAGTTCAAA